TGCAAAGTGTGATTGTCTACACATCATTGTTACTCTTCTAAGTGGATGAAGTACCCTGGAAAAGCATCTAGTCAGGTATCTTGGAAAAAAACCTGTTGTTTCTTTGTAATACTGCTTTATACATCTGAGAGGTCTCCAATGAAGGACAGCATATGGTTATTGGTCTATAGAAAGTGTTCAGGGGACTTGGAACAAATCTAACAAAATAGAAGATACTTCTGGAGAAGTGAGAAAATTGAGAAAAATGCAAAAAATGTGTTCTTGTTGTGTTTAGCTATTATTATTATCATTACCATTATTAAATGATACTTTCCAATTGGCAAAAAATATTCTGGAGGCTATTGTTTCTACTCGGGTATAAGTCACACTTTGACAAAAGAGAAATGCATGCAGAGAGCAAGCCATAGAGGGCAAGTTAGGAAATGATACAAATATTTATCTATATTTATTTTATTGAATCAACACTGATAACAGAAATACTCAACATTAATTAAGTACTTCCAAGTATTAGAGACTAAGCAAATAATTAAATATAGTATCTTATTTAATCATCAGATCAATTAATTATTTCCATTTTAGTGATGAGTGAAGGAAGCTATTATATGGTAATGAACTTGCCAAAGATTACCTACTAATAAATAAAAGAGAGGAGATTCAAATCCAGACAGAATTTTGAAGCTAGAGCTTTTATTCTTATCACCTTCTTACAGCTCCTGCATGCGTGTGAGTGAAAGAGTGAGGGTGAGAAAGAGGAATATATACATTCTTACTTATACCTATGTGAATAATCATGTGTGAATACTCCTTATTATACTAATACTTCTAGTCAATGCCAGCCTCTAAGAGTATGTTATTTAGTTTTTCAGACACACACACACACACACATATATATATATATATATATATATTTATATATAAAATTGCTTGCATATAACTTGATAATGACTGCAACCATAAAGGAACACAATCTTTTGAAATGTTATAGGCAGCAAAAGTAGAAACTCTAGTAAGAGAAATCTAGTGTCAATGATTTTACATGATTACTTTGAAAGTAGACCTTTAAAATGATTGAGCTATACTCACTTTTCACTGAATTTCTGATAAAGGATCTTCTGCTTTTTCTGAACTTTCTACTCTTTCCACTCATCCACTCTTAGCCATCTAAAACTTACCATCTATGCTGCCTCCTTCTCACTTGAAACTCTCCAATATCTTTTCCTGGCAGGTGCATTCTGTGAATTTCTTAGCAGGATCATCTGGTCTTTTAAAGGCTTGCATCACATTGCTCTTGCATTTGTCTTTAAGTCCTTGATAGTACTACAGTCTCTCCCTACAATACAACTTTCCCCCTCCTACTTTACCTCAAGATGATTTATGGCTCCTTATTCTGCTTCCTTAGCATGTTACCTCTATAGCACTGTCTCATGCTCATTATTTTAACATATTTCTCTCCCTCACTAAAATGAGACCTGGGTGCTCAGATGCAATTTGTGGTATGAGTCAGTTCATGAGAAGTATCTTATAAATAACAATAGGAAATTGCAAGTTTTCAGATATGCTGAAACTGTATTTGCAGAGTTGATTAGAGGATCCTTTGTCTGAGAGAGAGTCACCACTTGGGTAATACAACAGAAGATCTTAAATTGAGTTTTAAAAGAGTAAAGGAGAAAAG